GCCCCTCCCACCCGTCCAGGGAGGCCCCGCCTGAGCGAGGACAGTATTCGGATACTATGTGATTTATCAGGTTACGTGCCCCTCCCACCAGTGCAGGGAGGCCCCGCCTGAGCGAGGACAGTATGCGCATTTCATATGATTTATCAGGTTTCGTGCCCCGTCCACCCGTCCAGCGGAGGCCCCGCCTCAGACTTATGTGGGGAACTCCGGTGGCATAATTTGTCCTCCAAAATCCGCCTGGAGGGGGACAGGCCCGACCTAAGTCAAGGCCGCAAGTGTGAAAGTACATCCTCAGAAGCTGCACGAGTGGCCTTCTGGACACGGGCTTGCCCTATCTAGAACCTACGCGCGCGAAGGGCGCGCGCGCGTGGTTCTAGTATGTATGTATGTGTAAATATAGATGTTTAAAGACATGGATGAGTATGCCCCCACCCCGCTCGGGGGCCTGGCACCTCGCTACCATCTCGTCTTCTTTTTAAGACCCCCCCAGGGCCTCCAAGAGTCCTCCAGACGGCACAAGGAAGACAGCCTGAGATATCCGCAAGACCGCCTCAGAGGACCCAAGATGAGCCGACGACTGACCACAAGGTGCACCAAGAGCTCCCAAGATGACCTCAGAACAGCTCAAGAGGTCCCCCCTAAGACGAGCCCCTAGCGCACCCTAAAGATGCCTTGAGGAGGCCACTCCCCCCTCTCCTGGGCCCCCCCCTCCTGAGAGCGGCTCAGCAGCGGCTCGAAGATCCCCAAGGAGGCTCACGAGGCGGCCCCAATAGCCCCACTGACGGGACCAGGGAGCCGAACGAGCTCCCCTCAGAGGCCCTTCAGGAGACAAACGTCATCGAGTTTCATTGTGTTTTGCTGCATGATTCTCGTATATATGCTTTTTGCTCCTCAGGGCGCCCACGACGGGCTAAGAGGCCGCCAATCTCACCCCTGGACCGCCAGCCCAAGAGAGCCCTAACCGGCGTCAAAATGAGCCCAAGACGTTCAATCGGGCCCCAAGAGAATACCCAGAGGGGTTCAAAAAACCCAAGAGGGCCAGCGCACGGCGGCACAAGAGGGCTCCAAAACGGCACAAGATGGGCAAAAGACGGCCTCGGCACGACCCCAAAAGACTCGAAGACAGCGAAAAGGACCCCCAAACTAGCCCCAAAACTGCCCAAAGGGACTTCCAAGATGATCATACAGGCCCCCGAGACGGTTCCAAGACGGCCCCCGAAGACGCCGAAGGCCGCAACTCAAGCGTGCGTCCGCCCAAGAGGCTCAAAAACCGCCGGGGGGTGGCTCGAAAGCTCTTGAAAAAATGCTGTAGAAGGCAAAGTCATCGAACTTGGTACCCTGCCGGTGCGACCCAGACGAGTTTTCTGGCCTTCGTGGCACCGTGGTTCAAGCCCAGATGCGTGGCCCGACAGGGAGAGGGGATGGCGGCCTGCGATCCGCCGTGGTTTGGGCCTAGTGGCGTGCACTGGGCCAGCCTCAGGCACCGCTTTACTGCCTTAGAGCAGACCGCGCGGGGGGCCCGCCTGCCGACGTCGATCGCCCCGAAGAGACGGGTAACGCTTCTCCACGTGGCCCAGTGGATGTACACATGGTTGACTGTTGCCCGAGCCGACACTTGTGGAGTCCCAAACCCGGACAGCAGGGCGCCCGAAGGGCGTGCAGAGGCCTCTCGAAGAACTCTGGAAGTTCCTGGAAGGAGCTTCGCAAGGAGCTTCTGGAGAGCTTCCGGGCAGGCGTATTGGAAAACGCTTAAAAAATGCCTCTCAGGACACACTGGTAGCTCAAGCAAGGCGCAGCGGTGTACATATGGCTAATTGTTGCCTGAGCCAACAGAACGGCCAATCAAAGTGTCCAGTCGTTTTGAGTAATTGTCAGTTGTCGGCGTACCCGCCAACGACCTCCTGTGACCATTCCAATCTCCGCTATCGCTTCACACTACTATATGTTACTTGCTATTTCAAATGATCCAAGTGGCACGCCACATCAATTCTATGGAGAAGCGCTCTCGCGACACCGTCCGGAGCGCACACAACCAAATGGTTTCCTTACGCGTTGCCAGGATCCCCAAAATTCATCGCAGCAGGTCCCCCCATAAATCCCGAGAGGTTCCAGAATCGCCCCTGCACTCACTGGCAATTTGCGATGCGAGTTCATAGGCACGGCTCGAACCTAAGTGCGCGCGAAGCGTTCGGGGTTCTAGTGTGTAACTATATAGTTTACATGTACATCTGTTTACGCACACGCACGTGTGAGCACGTATTTGTGTGTATGTGTTGCCTGTGCCTGTCCTTGTGTCCGTGCCTGTGTCCGTGTCTGTGGTTGTGGCTGTGGCTGTGGCTGTGTCTGCGTGTGCATCCATCTCCATGCACCACCACCACCACTCGTCCCCTGACCCGGCCTCCCCCCCTCTCCGCGCGCGCATTTCTGTGCGCGGCGGAGGCAATCGACGAAGAGGAGTCAGGCAGGCTTCAGGACCCGCCTGCGCACGGGCGGGGAAGTGCCCAGAGGGCGCACACTCGGGAGGGCCGGGGAGGAGGAGGCTGCCGAAAGAAAGGAGGAGGAGGAGTAGGAGGAGGAGAGGAATGCCTTGAGCTTCCTTTTGGGCTATGTAGAGAACTGTGTGGGCCCCGGAAACGGCAGGGCCGTTTTTTCACCGTTTCCCAATAAATGTCCCTTGAAAGTGGAAACGGCGAAAAAAAAACTGCGACCAGAAACGGCAAACAAATGGCTCCAGGATTGGAACCGGAGCCGGAACCGGTCAAAAAAAGGCGACGGAACCGGTAAAACAACGGCGTCGGAACCGGCAAAACAATTGCAAAACGGAACCGGTAACAAAAACGGTCCTGTCGTTTCCAGGGCCCTTTAAGGTAGAGAAGCCACTATTCTAAGTTCGCTGAGGCATGCCCCAGACGACCAAACCCAATATCGCCATTCTGAACTCGTTCAGATATGCTCGAACACATCAGCATATAGGATGCCAACGCACACTTCTGACGCACGCCCGACGACCCCACCCGCCCGCCTTGCGCACGCAGGCCAAATCTGGCCTCCCAGAGCTTTCAAAGAATCCAGGGGGACCCAATGGATGCCAAGAAAGAGGAGGAGGTTGCCAAAGACGTGGAGGAGGAGGAGGAGGAGGAGGAGGAGGAGGAGGAGGAGGAGGAGGAGGAGGAGGAGGAGGAGGAGCAGCAGCAGCAGCAGCAGCAGCAGCAGCAGCAGCAGCAGCAGCAGCAGCAGCAGCAGCAGGCAGCCGCAGCAGCAGGCAGCCGCAGCAGCCGCAGCAGCAGCAGCAGCAGCAGCAGCAGGCAGGCAGGCAGGCAGGCAGGCAGGCAGGCAGGCAGGCAGGCAGGCAGGCAGGCGGGAGCGGACGCCCCCCGCCTCTCCTCTGCACTGGGGCGGTACCCCCGGCCTGCCGCCCGCCAGTCCTTCCCATGCCCTTCCTTCCTCCGCCGCAAGATGCCGTGGCCCGCCCTTTCACGCTGTGCATCGCTGTCCTCCTCCCCCCTCTCGCTGCCGCTCCTCTGTGCCCATCCTCCGTCCTCCTTCGTCGCTGCCCCTCCCGCGGGCGAGCATTTGAAAAGCAAACACTTTACACGGGCTCCGTGTCCCTGCCAGCGACCCGGGCCGAGGGGTCGCCCACGAGGTTGCGACTTTTCCTCGACGCCATACTGAACGCGGGCAGCCTGCAGGCTCAGCGCAGGTGCCGGCCAGCCATCGGCGGCGGCGGCGGGGCGCAGGTGGCGGCCGCAGCATCCTGCGGCCTGGGGCTTGGCCAGGGCGCCCAGCGGCGGCGGCGGGGCGCAGGTGCTGGCGGCGGCGGTGCTGCGGCGGGGCGGCGCCAGCGGCCCCGGCTCACGACGTGCCCGGGCCGGCTGTCGCCGTGGCGTGGGCCTCCCGCGCCAAGTTCGCGGCGACCCCACGCCCGCCTCGATGTCCGAGTCCAGGCCCGCGCGCAGTCCGGTGATGATGGCCGCCGGCGGGAGTTCTGCCCACGTCGTGCCGCGCGCGAGCTCGCGGGCCGCCTCCTCGGCATGGCGGCACCTCTCCAGAGGGTGCAGCCCGTCGCGGGATGTGACCTCCACGCGCCGCGCGCACGTAGCTCGGGAGGCGGTCGTGTGCGTGGTGAGGCGGCCCCGGAGGCGTGGCTGTGCCCACGCCCGGATGGCTGACCACGGGGCCGTTGCCGTGGTCGCCGCCTGGAGCACCGGCCGTGCCGTTGCCCCGCGGTGGGTGGGCGGCCGCCTCGCGGGCATGCCATCTCGGCTCCACCTCGGGCCGGCCTGGCGCCCGCCGCCTCCGTCGGGTATGTGTGACTGCGTTGATTTCTGCCCGCCCGGGCCAGCGCGCGTGCGGGCTCTTGATGTTTGTGGAGGGCAGGGCACGACCTAGACGCTGTTTTAGCGATCTCGTGGGCCGTTTTCGTTTTGATGCTGTTTTGCAGCAAGGGCGGGATGAGGGAAAGCGTAAACCGAAAACGGAAAGCATTGTTTAGGTCGAGCCCTGGTGGAGGGACCAAGGCGAGTACATTGCGATGGCGTATTCCTGCAGTGAGGCGCGCAGCGTCCACATCCACGCGCGCGGGGGCCGTTGCCGCAAGGCGCGCAGGCGGGCTTGGCTGGGAGCCTGGCACCGTGGATTTGATCTTGGCCGCTAGTGCCGCCGCTGTTCCGAGGGTCTGAGCTGCGAGCCGCTGCGGGTTGCCGAGCTCCCGGAGGAGGAGGAGGAGGAGGAGGAGGAGGAGAAGGAGGATCCTGAGGATCATCCTCCTCCTCCGCCGAGGCTCGGCGTAGGATCGACACGCCTACGCCTGTGCCGAGGCTCGTCGTAGGCGTGTCGATGTCGAGGAGGCGACTGGCCCACCCGTCCTGGACGGCGTTCAGCCGCGCCTTCCAGTCGTGGCAGACGAGGGGAGGGGCGTCGCCCAACACGCCTGCGGTCGGACTCTGGCATCCAGCGCACGGGGGACCACCGCCATGGGCAGTCCGAGCAGGACCGTGAGGATGGTAATCCAGCACCGCGCGGCTGCGTGCTCGACGTGCTGCATCAGCGCCGTCGCGCGCGCTCCTTCGTCCATGGGGACGCCGGCGCACGCGTGATCGGTGCTCGTCGACGCGCTGCGCGCCGCCGTGTGCGAGGCGGGCGCGTGGGCGCCCGCCGCCAAGCACTCCGTCTTGCCCGCCTGCCCGCGGCGCACCTCTGCGCGCGGGCTGCCCGCCGCAGTTTGCAGCGCCCGCGCGCTCGGCCTACAGTCAAGACGCTGGAATAAGGAACAGTTTGGGTTCGGAAGGGGCTCGATTCTCCGCGGGTTCCTCCAGTGCCGTTCCTCTTGCCCTCCTGAGGCGCGGAGGCGCTTACAGGGCCATGAAGGGGTGTCGTTCTTTATGATTTGATCGTCGATCGGTTTTATCTTGCCTGCGCCCCCATCCCCCTCCCGTCTGCCGAACAGAAACCGCAGTTCGTCTCCGGGCTCAAGTTTTCGGGCGAGCGAGCCACCCCGACGCGCCCTCGTCGGGTGGAAGCGGGGCGGCGCTGTGCCCGCCCACGTCGCAGGGGGCGACGGCTTTCCCGCGCTGGGCCGCGGGCCTCCTCGGGAGTCTCATCTCCTGGAAAGAGCTGGGCCCCTGCGGGTCGTGTCTGGGACCTACGACTACTACTGCCAGGATCTCGAGCCTGGAGGCGAGATCTTCGCGCCCGAGGGCCTGCTGCCTTCGGCGGGCCCCGCGGGCCAGTTCGACGGCGACTATTTGGGCGAGCAGATTATCGAGAAGGGCGGAGTCGACGAGCTTTCCATGCCCTTCAAGAAATGGCGCCGGGTCTACTACATGGCGAAGGCCCCCCCTTGCAACGGGACCTAGGGGCGGGGCGCGGTGATGCTTTTGGTTGAGAGGGCGTTCCCGCAGGAGAACGCCGACCCTCACTGGGCGGCCGCAGACCCTCGCAAGAGGGTCCAGGTGATCAACGTGCGCGACAGGAGCAAGGTGAGCCCCGCGCCCAAGCAGGACATCGACTACGCGGACGTTCCAGGCTTCTCGAACGCCGACCTCATTCAGATCGAGAAGCAGTCCGCAAGCGCGGTGCGGAAGCGGAACAACCGAGCGGCGCTGACTTCCACGCCCGCACCAAAGAAGGGAGGAGGGCGCCAGGGCCGGCTCCCTTTCGTCGGGGCGGCGGTCAACATCATCGGTGGTATCCTCTCGTGGAGTGCCTTGGGTTACTGGGGCGGAGCATCGCGGGCCATCTACGTCGTCGGGAAGCGGCTCAAGGCCTGGTCGGCGCCCCACGGGATATGCTCGGCCGCCAGAGAGGTGGCCTCGTTCAGCGAGTACGCCAGCGAGAACATGGAGGAGTTCAGCGAGCATTTCGAGGACCTGGACTTCGAGCTCATGTGCCTGATCGCTGCGGGCGCCTTCCCCCTCTGGGGCCTCCTCAAGAAGGGTTCCGAGCTACGGCGGTTGGCCATGAGGTCTGCGGGGCTGGACTCGGACAGCGACTCGGACGGCTCGGGCTCCGATCGCGAGTTCGGACGCAGCGTGTCGGAGGTCGGGGAGGACGTCCAGATGCCAGAGCTTCTCGCCTCTTTGCTGCAGAGCCAGTCGGAGCTCGCGGAGAAGATCTCGCAGCTGAAGCAGCACGGGACTCCCCAGTCTTCGGGGGGCCTCGCGGGCGGCCCGACCAGTTCGACCCCTCGCGCGGAGCGGGGGGCGGAGCTGGAGTCGCCGAGGAGGGGCCAAGACATCGACTCATCGATCGACGCTCTCTTGGGAAGGCTACAGGAGCACGAGTCTATCGTGAAGACGGACGCTGGAACTCGGGGAACTGCGATGCGGGGCCCCGAGGGGCTGGCGCTCCAGATGAGGCCGGGTGCAGCGTCAAGCGGAAGCCCTTCCAGCAGTCCGGCGCAGGCTCTGATCGAGGTCATCGAGAAGGAGACGGTCGACCCGCGCGGAGCCCTCATGGAGCACCGCCACAAGTACAAGGACATCGAGGGCTGGAACCTGGCGGGGGCGAAGGCGAGGATCGCGCCGCAGCACTTGGCTCGCATCTACAGGGGGGGGCAGGGCTGCGTCCGAGACGGCCAGGTCCTGGATTTCCGAGAAGGAGCTGGACACTCGCCGCGCGGCCCAGGAGTTCTTGCTCCTCGCCATGATCCTGGACAAGATGATCGTCGAACAGAAGGAGGACCTCATCAACAGCTCGGCCTGCGAGATCTTGCGTCGCCAGATGCGCGGATTGCAGCTCGCTTTCCAGAACGTCCATCGGCGGTCCGACTGGAAGCAGCCGAAGGGGCAGCAGGGTCAGAAATAAAAGTGAGAGTTCTGCGACCAGCACGACGCGCGGGCCTCGGACGAGAACGAGCTCGCGACGCCGGGGGCCGACGAGGAGGTCAGGCTCAGGCTGGAGAAGAAGGCCTTTTTCAACAAGTACCTGACGAAGGCCCAAGAGGGGTCCAAGGACGCGGAAGGGGGCTCAGCCCCGTCCTTCCACCATCCAGAAGCCATCCCTCGAGGGGGGGCTCGCGGCCTCGCGGGGCAGCGACTGCTCGGCCGACTCGTCGTCTTGACGTTCGGCCTCTGCGACAGTTCTGTTTTCCAGCATCAACTTCCTCGTGGCACCGAGTTCCTGCACTCCTTCGGCTGGGTGCTTACCGCGTCGCAGTGCTCGCGACCCCGTGGACACCTTGCCTTTCTTGGCGCCACCTCTGGAGTGGCCGAGCGGCGTCGAGAGGCCAGAACGGGCGACGGACGCCCTCGCGGTGGACTACGTCGACTCGGCCATCCTCGCACTCGACGGCCTCCACCAGGGAAAGGTGGAGACGATCTTGGAGAGGATCCCGTGCTTTTCTCGGGCTCGTCTATCATGGGCTTCGGCCTCGCCGATGTCTCGAGAGGCGGCGAAGCGTGTTTGGGAGCGGACTTGCGCGTGGGTTGCCGCCGAGGAGATGCTGTCGGGGGACGCTGCGCTCGCGCAGCTTACCAGATCTACGAACGACACCAAGCAGAAGGGAGTATAACTCCAGCGAGGAGACATCTGCCCTTGCCTCCCAGCGGAGGTGAGTTTGCCGCCGGCTGGGGCTACGCCGGTCGACATGATGAAGGCGCCCCCGACAGCAGCGGAGTTCCTCAACTTCCCGGACCAGATGATCGAGAGGGACGAGGAGGTCGACTGGGTGAAGTTCGATGACACCAAGGCCTTCATGTCCCCCGAGCTGAAGGACAAGAGCAACCTCTTGCTGCTGGCGGCCCGACTCTGGGAGGCGGGGATGCTGGCAACGTGCGAGCAAACTATGGAGACAGTGTCGGTCGTCACGGTGCTGAAGAAGCAGGAGGCGGGGCGACGGGCATCCAGGCTTGTCTGGGACTTGCGGCGATGCAACCTCCGATGGCGTGCCCCGCCTTGGGTCCCGCTTGGCATTCCGATTTCAATTGCCAACATCGAGCTGACCGACGATATGATCGGGTGTCAGATTTTCACGGTGGCGCACGGCGACTTGCCCGACTTCTGCTATACCATCTTGAAGCCGTCCTGGCTACACCCTTGGTTCGTCCTCGCGGGGATCCCCCCGACCGAGTTGAAGAACTTCGCCGAGTCCGAGGGTTTTGCTTGGGCCGACGAGGTGGGCACCGCGAAGCCGTACTTGGCGTTGAAGGTGCTTCCCATGGGTTGGAGCTGGTATGTTTTCTTCGTTCATTCGACGTTGCAGGACGTCATTCACCACGGCGCTGCTGGCCTCGAGCCGGGCGGCCAACTCGTGGACGGGACTCCCACTCCGCAGTTCGACGCTTTCAGGAAGCTCTTCTGGTTCTTCATCGGCGACTTCGCGGTGGGCGAGGTCCACGACAGCAACGCCGAGCACGACGAGCTGAAGGCGCGCCAGACCCTGCTCGAGTGGAAGGAGGCGATCAAAGGAGCCGGCTTCAAGGTGCACAAGGGCGTGGTCGAGCATGGTGTCTCCGCGTTCTTGGGGGCACAGATCACGACGAACTAGTTCCTCAGAGTTCTGCCCGCCAAGCAGTCGAAGGCAGCTGCGGCCACCAGGGCCATTCTTCGCATGGGATCGGCCACCTCCTACGACTTGCAGTGCCTGATCGGGAACTGGGTCTGGATACTGCTCCCATCTCGCGTTGGGCTGTCTAACCCCATCGGTCTCCCATCAGTTCATCAGCGAGCTGGGCAGGGATCAGCGTCGGCAGTTGTGGGCAGGAGTCAAGGCCGAGCTTGCGTCGCTGGTCGCCCTGCTCCCGCTGTTCTCGGTCGACCTGAAGGCGAAGTGGAACCAGTGGGCGTGCATGCCGGATGCTTCGGACGAGGGATGCGGGGTGATCGCCGCTGCCACCGCGCCGTCGGAGGCGAGGGCCGAGGCCCGCTGGGCCCGGCGCCGAGGGCGGTGCGCGAAGCTGGAGGCCGCCTACTCGGAGGTCGAGGAGTCGGAGAGCATCCACGAGGACAATGCGCAGGGCAACGCGACCCGCTCCTTGGCGGAGCGAGTCGCGCGGCAGCGTGCATCGTGGCGGCCTGGCTTCCTGCCCCTCTTCTCGGGCGCGGGCGTCCTCGACTCAGCCATCAGGGAGAAGCGTTTGTCCTGTGTCGAGAGCTGGGACATCGAGATGGGCCCCCCCTTCGACATGTCAGACCTTGCGCGGGTGGCGATCCTGATCCGACGGATCCGTGCCAAGTGCTACTGGTGCGTCCACCTTGCGCCGCCGTGCTCGTCGTTCAGTCGGGCCCGTCAGCCGTTCGCGACTGTCGACATCCTTAGGGTCGGCCGCGACTGGAAGGGAGAGCTGCGCGGCTTGTGGAAACGGGGAACTACCTCTGTCTTGTCGCCATCGAGATTACCTCAGAGTGCCTGAAGCAGGGCGTCCTCTTCAGCCTCGAGAGCCCCGCGCCCTCCATGATGTGGGAGCTCCCGCCGATGATCGAGTTCGTGAAGGCCCACTCCCTCGTGAAGGTCACGATGGACTGCTGCCTTTTTGGCACGCCCTGGAAGAAGCCGACCTCCGTCCTCACCAACGCTCCAGAGTTGAAGGCCCTGGGGGAGCGCTGCAACCACTCGTTCCAGCACCGGGCGCTTCGTGGTCGAGACGGCGATGGGGGCACTTTGGACGGCGAGAGCCTGCCCGTACCCTCGAGACCTTTGCCTCGAGTACGCCGCGGCGGTGGCAGGGCGAGCCCCCGGCCTCCCCAGGGGCGAGACGGCTCCTCCAATGGACGAGTCGGCGCCAGGACCCCGAGGGTCGAAGGCGCCCGCGCCGATGCTCGGAAAGAGTTGGGCGGCCCTCTCGAGGTGGCACCTCCTGTTCGCGGGGGGTGGAAGGATATCGAGCACGACAACATCCTGGAGGCGCGTGCGGCGCTGGCGGCTCTCCGACATGCATCGAGGGCTCGGGGGAACTGGGACACCCGCATCCTCTTCTTCACGGACAGTCTGGTGACTCTTGGAGCATTCTCAAAGGGGCGCTCCAGTGCCCGCCCCCTCCTTCAACTATGCCGACGAGCTGCAGCAATCACCCTAGGGCGATTGCTGGCGATCGTGCCGAGCGAGCTGAACTTCGCGGACAGCCCCAGCCGCCAGGAGGGGGTCGGTGTGGCGGGCGACACAGCGCGCGCCCACCGGCGGAAAGGGGTTTCCCGAGCAAGCTGCTCCGCTCCTTGCCGAAGTTGAGGATAGGGGCTCACGAACACAATTTCTGAGAAGCACAAGTGCCAGGAGGACAACTCCAGAGACGCTACGCTGCGCGATCATGATGTTCAACTTGATCTGCTTCGCCAGAGCGATGCCGAAGGCCCCCAATCCCCTATGGAGTCGTGGAGGACGCGCCTGGGACGGTGCTCTTGAACTGCCTTCCTCGGGGCGCGTCGCCGGAGGAGTGAATCGGTTGCAAGTTCACGCAGTTGATGACAAGACGAATGCAATCTACTTGGCAGCTGTGCGTGAATTCTTAATTCAGATGAGGTATGAACGAGTCCCGTTTGATACATTTGACGAACGAGACCGGGCCATGGCAGATTACCTAAGTGATTTTGGCTACTTGCGAGAGGGTTCCTTGGCCAAGGCGAGCCTTTTGGCATCAGGATTCACGCGTATCTTTCCAGAGCACTTGCAGCGCATGCCCGAGACCGCGAGAGCCCTACTCACCTGGCATCGACTCGGTCTTTCTCGCGAAGGTGGACCTCTGTCTTCAAAGGGCATCGCCGCGGTGATTCTTCAGATGATTAAGCATGGGGGTCTCTTCTCAGCACTCGCGGTCATGGTTTCTGAGGACGCTTATCTACGAGAGCAAGATTGGGCTCAGTTTTGTATGGGGGACGTATCTGGCGACCATACGAGGGTCGCCTTGGTCTCGGGAGTCCGTGAGAGAGGTGAAAAGGCCAAAACAGGGTCGAATCAAGGAATGCTTCTGGACAGAGCTTACGTCGGAGACACGTTGCTAGGCGTCCGGGAGCATCTCAAAGTCGGCGTGCCCTTCTTCCCGATCTCCACCGTCGAGTACAGACGACACTGGTGGAAGGCGCTCAACGACTTGGACATCGCCTTCCGCGGGCCTCCGCACAACGCCCGCCGCAACCAGCCCTCGACCGACGCAGCCTCGGGAAGGCGAAAATTGGAAGGGATCCGACGCAGAGGCCGATGGAGTGCACTGAGCAGCGTCCAGAGGTAAAGCTGCCCGCCAACCCGAAGCAGGTTGGGCTCGCTTTCCTCGGCTTTCCTCGAAGTCCACTCTCCAAGATCCAGATTGAAGAGCTGGAGTCACGTGCAGACGTCGTCTATCCAAGTGATCCACCTCTCCCGTCGATGACATTTCAGGGGGAAGCTCGAAGTCAACGAGCACGCAAGGCCGCCGTGACCAAAGAGACCAGGAGCAAGACGAGAGAACGCCTTCAGCCCTCCTCGCCTTCGCCGGCCTCGTCCAACGGATCCTGGGAGCTATTGTGATTGATCCGCCCCGTCCTGTTGCTGGCCTTTTGGGAAGTCTGGCAGGGCCCGACTTCAGTAATTCAGGTGGCGGTGGGCTCCGACTTTTGAACCCCGAGCCCTCCCTCCCGTTGCCGACCAGGAGCAGAGACTGGGTCGTGGTAGAGAGCCTCGGCCGCCTGTTGACAGTGCTTGCAGGTGTCGGGTCGAGGCCGGCCCGCGCCCTATACTGGGCCATAGTGGCCCCCGCAGGCGCTGGAGAGTCAAAAGAGCGTGGCACGACACGCGCTGCATCTGACTCGCCTCGCGAGGCACGTCTGGGAGGGCAGGAGTGGCTAGGCGGGCGATAATATTTGATCGTCGATCGGTTTTTATTTTGCCTGTGCCCCCCCCCCCCCCGTCTGCTGAACAGAAACCGCCGTTCGTTTCTGGGCTCAAGTTTTCGAGCCCGCCTCGCCTACCCGAGGTGCAGGCATCTAAGGGTACTAGAGTTCGACAGGTAGAGAGCATCGGCCGCCTGTTGACAGTGTTTGCAGGTGTCGGATCGAGGCTGGCCCGCGCCCTATACTGGGCCATAGCGGCCCCCGCGGGCGCTGGACAGTCATAAGAGCGCGGCACGACACGCGCTGCATCTGACTGGCTTCGCGAGGCACGTCTGGGAGGGCAGGAGTGGCTTGGCGGACGATAACTAGCGTTCCTTATTTCCGCGGCCCGACTGTAGGCTTCCCATGAGGAGGGTGGATCGGAGGGGGCGTCGTCGTTCGAGTTGGCCCTGAAGGGGGTCCAGCGACAAGGGGGTGGTGTACTAGGTCTGGTGCAACAGATCTGTGGGGTTGCAATACATCTGGGGCGTGCGATACAGTTCGGGGCGCAGGTGTATTGCTGTATTTTCGCGTGCACCACGTAATTTGCAATGCAATGCCATACAACTCTCCGGCGCAATAGATTTGTAATACACTTGCCCCAAATCTAGTGCACCACCCCCTTTCAGCTGGACCCCTTTTTGGATCACCCAAAGTCGCCCAGTAGGCTGGTCTTCGTGGCGGCCGCGGCGTCGACGATCCAGAGCCGGCGTCGGAGGTGGCCTAGGTCATGGTCCCAGCTCTCTTCCCCCGCTGCTGCCGCCCTCGTCGCGTCCTCGGCCGCCGCGCGATCGGGTTCGGTGGCGTCGCCTTTGCCCAGGCGGCTCCAGCGGGATGCGCGGGCAGCCTCCTCCGGCGGGTCGAAGCCTGTGCCGAGGTGGCCCGCCGCGGTGGCGACCAGGAAACGCCTGGCTCGAGCACGCGAAGAAGGCCGACGCGAGCCACCTCCCCTCCAGCACGCCTGTAGTGAGGGGCTGCGGCGCAGCGGCGACGTGGCCCGAGGTAGCGCTGACGGAGGAATCGTGGATCATGGCTGCAGCCAACGCCAGGTCCTCGCCCTCCAGGCCGGCCGTGTCGCGGAGGTCGAGAGATTACGGCCGGGGGGCAGGCGGTGTCAAAGGCGCCTACGGAGGTCCATGAAACACTCGCCGCAGGGGGAGGTTCTGGCTGCGCCGTGCCTGATGATGCGCGCGCGTCGATGGCGATGCGTCGCAGAAGAATCGGCGTAAACATGAACTTTTGGGCGCTCCGCGCGGATTTCTTGCATCGGCGCTGGGCCCCTCCCTGGCGGCGCCTCCGGCGCCGCCCGCCTTTGGTGCGCGCTCCGCGTGCCGAGGCGGGCGGTCCCGCGCGGACCCCAGAAATCCGCGCGCACTTCGGAAAGTTTGATTCCAAGTCGGGCCTGTCCCTTTACAGGGGGAAGATTCAGAAATAGTCCAGAAACAGTCGGGAGACGATGCTTCGAGTATGTTTGACCATTTTGAATGCATTTTTGGGTTATTTTCTATTCTTCGTCCAAAATCCGCCTGCAAGGGGACGTGCCCGACCGAAGTTTGATTACGTTCGCCGGGGAGGGTGGTCCGGCGCGGACCCCAGAAATCCGCGCGGACCTCCAGAAGTGTAAGTTTATGTGCTTCTTTCTTCCTCGAATGTAGGATTGCGAAGAAGCCAAGCGCCCCACCGCTGGCTTCTCGCGCGTAACTCTTCACTGCAGTTTCACAGGTCCTTCTCGAAGGGCCAGCGTGCCAAGCACGCCTGTCGCCTGTATTCGGGCCGCCTTTCGGGGCGTTGACGGCTGCGTTCTGCGTTCTGCGTAACGTAGAGCTGCGACGACCGCGTCCCCCCGACCTCGCGCACAAGGGCCTCTGCCCTGCGCCTGGGGTCCCGAGCGGTCGGGGTCAGAGCACGGCAAAGCTGCGGCAGTGGCGCCCCCGCTCGCGCACCCCGACTTCGAATCGGCACGGCTCTATCGGGCGGCGTCCAACCTCAACCTACCCCACCCCATCCCCACCCCTCCTTCTCACAAGGGAGGAAAAGCCACCCAGACCCTGGCAATCTGCGTTTACGAAGCGGCCTCGGGCGTCTATTCAACAGCCCTGTCCTCTTCGATTCTTTCCCTGGGCGCGTGTAACCGAAACGGCCTCGCTTGTCGGGGTGCTTCTTCGCTTGGTATTCCACGGAAGCGAGCTGAACCCGTGCAATTGGGGGGGGCGTGCCTTGGGGGTGGCGCCGTGGTGTTTCCGTGGGTCGCCCTTCGGCCTTCCAGGGCTACAGCGTGTCCGGCGTTGCCCGGGCCCGCGCGTGCTCGTTCCCGACCAGGGTTTGTGCCGGGCGTTCCGGCGCGTCGTCCCCAAACCGGTGCGCGCGGCATTAGCCCTGGCCGCGTCGCCAAGGAAAAAGGTCGCCTATTAGTGGGCAGTGCTGACGGGGAGGACCTCCAGCGGAATTTCCGCCCTGCTTGGTCGCGCGTCCCGGCGGCTGAGAAAGGCTTGACCCTTCCTTCGTGGAGCGCC